AAATCGATACAGGGCTTTAGAATATCGATACAGTATCGGGAAACGAAATATCGCGATATTTCAGTGTAACGATATTTTCTTACACCCCTAGTGATTAGTGCAGCTGTCTTGCAAACCTGAGGCTTCAGGTTTGAGCCCAGGTTGCTTCAGGAAGGGCATCTGGTATAAAACTCTTGACAACTCCTTTGAGTTTGTTTGCAGTGGCAACCCCACACTCTAAAAATGAAATGTTGGATTTACTTAACCATGTTATGTTGCCTGGTTCCACTTAACTGAGTTGAGCAAATTCAAAGCAACATGCTCATGTTCTTTGGCTAAAAAACTGGTATATTGCTTTGAATTTACTCAACTCAGTTAAGTGGAACCAGGTAACATAACATGTTTAGTAAATCCAACATTTCATTTTTTACAGTGCACAGAAGAAAAAAGGCAACAGCATCCATAATTTCATTAATTTTTTGTTCATCTGTTCATGAGATATGTTGCTAAAAAACCAATACACATGCAAAGAACAATACTAAAAACATGCTACTCTTTGACCTCTTCCACATTTTGCTCACCAGACTGGCACACAGCTGAACAGCACATTGGCAGGGCTCCAGGCAGAGAGGGAGGTGTTGCTGCGAACGGTTCGAGAGCAGGATGCAGAGCTGAACTCTCTGAGACAACAAGCTCAGCTCCAGCAGAGCTCCCTGGAGCAGGAGAGGCAGAGAAGCAGCATGGAGCTGGGCAGCCTACATATGCAGCTACAGCAACAGGTGCTGATTCAGTTTTCTGACTGCAGGTCAAATGTGTCTTGGTGACCTCTCTCATTATTCTTATTCTTGCTTAGTTACTGAGTTTGTGAGGACAGCCTACTCTTTTTTACAGTATTTACAGTATGTGTGTCCCATATTCTGTACATTTCTTGATGAAAGATTTGACAAAACATCTGGGAATGTTTAGGTCCTTAGAAATCCTTTTATATTCATCACCTACTTTTCAACAATATTATGTATGCAATCACTTGTTAAAGATATTTATTTAACATAAAGTAATTTTTATTCTTTTTCCTTCCTTTCATTTAAATTTCATTTATGACTTGCATTTTGTTTTTATTGTATATAGATTTTCTTTTGTTTATTTGAATGAATGAATGAATGAATGAATGAATGAATGAATGAATGAATGAATGAATGAATGAATGAATGAATGAATGAACTAGA